GACCCAATTAATTGTTTAATTCTTTTCTCCCACACTCTGAGAAAACATATAAAAAGAGACTAGTGTATAAAAAAGGGCTTGCATTAACTACAGAATTCTATTTAGGCTAATTGACCCCTGTGGGTAACTAGAGAATCCTATTTATACTAATTTACACTAACTTGAATATCTATTCACAGCACAATGTTTTGCAGTGAAGACACATCTTTAAAAAAAAACCAGACAATGACAATGCCAAAATTCCTCTGTAAATCTAGCTTTCCTGGATATATTGGTACTTTTTTGCCTCACAGGGTTGTTGTAAAGATATATACATTAAAATACAATGAGTCTCAGAAACGTTAATAATAGGGCCATATCATACCAGTACATGTGATAGAGGTGCTCCAAAGAGTCTTTTCTATATAATTCATCCAAGGTTAAATTATATTCAATATTTAACTGTATATAGATATGGAAGTTTGTTTTAAGTTTATTGGAGTCAAAACACGTTTCAGTTAGAAGCATTTTTCTTAAATTCCCTTCCTTTGTTTTATTTTTTTATTTTATTTTTTGGTTTGGTCTTTGTTTCATCTCTGATTCTCAAGGGCCGCATCTACACAAGATGCTGACTGCACAGTCGTTACTGTGAAGTCATTTAGTACTTGGATAAACAAGTATTAAATGACTTGTATAAACAAGTACTAAATGACTGTGCAGTAACTGGAACAGCTAGGGCACAGTAGCACTGCTGAACTGCTTTTTCATGATGCTGACTGTGCAGTAGCCTGAGAAAGCATTACATCACGCTTTCTGCCACACGACACTACTGAGCAGTAGTCTCAGACTACTGTGCAGTCAACATCTCATGTAGACATGGCCAAGAAGAACCAATATAATACTATGCATATCAACAAGAAGAAGATCTATAAAGCACAGTAGTTTTAAAAGGTGTGAATATAAGTGTACACAATAACTAATCTGAGCAGATCTGGACATAGACATGGGCAAACCGGGTGGCCGCCTGGAGCCTGGACAGAAAGAGGGCCCAAAAGTGGTAATTTTTTTTCCTTTGTCTGATTATTATTATCATTATCTGATTATTTGGCAAAGGGGGTCCAACACTAAAAGTTTTCCCAGGGCCGCCAGGAGTCTAGGTACGGTACTGCATCTGAGGACAGAGTGTTTACCCACAGTAGATATATTTCTGATATCCCATTGATAAAGATATACTAACGGTAAAAGTATTATCCTATTCTCCAGGACCTCAGTGTTTCAACAGGGCTATTCATGTGTTTTAAACATGGATGGCCCTGTTAAAGTCACAACACTACTTGGGTTTTAAAACTTTTCACACTGAGGAACTGAGACCACAGTTTAAAAACCAATTAGCTTAAAAAAAATGTTTCTGGAAGTAAGATTCTTGAGACCACAACTTCAGACTAATTAAGTGTTTTTGCTTAAGAAACTGGTTCACTGTGCAATAGTGAAGCAATTAACTGTGCTGGTACTTAAGTGATCATAATTATGTTTCAAAATTAATAGCTTATTAAAATGAAGAATGGGAGGGTAAAATGCACCCCTATCCTTGCACTATTTTAGGCTACACTGCTGCAGTTTCTAGAAGTGCCTAGCACAAAATTTACAATGTGAGCACTGGCTACAAGCACAAGAAATTGTCAGCTTTTTAATTTGGTGGGAGAAATAGCAGTCCATCGAAAAC